TATATTTCAGGTCTGACTTGATCGTTAGAACACTGAAGACCTCCAGAACTAGACATGAACTAATCGAAGATCATCATATTTTATTGATATATAGAGGAGTTAAAAATAGTTTATATTATGAAAAAAATGTAAAAGAGAAGTAATTTATTATGTTTTAAAACAATTAGATTGAACAGATTGCTTTATTTTGGATTTTACTTGCCTCTATGTGGTTCACATTGGGCAACGTACACTCATGCGGCAAAATAGTCTATAAACCAACACTTGGCTTCTGACTTCAAACTACCATAACCCTACTTTAGGTCATATTCAACCACTTCTACAATGCTCGCCTTACCTTACCTTTTCTCTACCTTTGTGTCTGTCTCTTACATCTGCTAGCCACTCTTATGTCTCCCCCCCCCCCCCCACTTTTGGTGACTTTGATGTTCCTCCCCTATATGAAATCCGAAGTCAATTCAAAGCCTGCCATTTGAAATAAATTGGATTAAGCTAAATTAATTAATTAACTTATCTTAGTTTACTCGACTATTTCATTACTCCATTTTAACATGCAACGAACATGCTTTCGGTAACTGCTAACTGCTCAAACCCTCATTCTCCGTGATTATGAACCATTGAATTCTCTTTCCAAATCGATTCATAGCTTAGACAGAATGTCGTTATATTGGTAACAAAGTTACTTCTATTCTACCCATTAGATGTGGAGTATAACTATACCCTGCTTGATGCATGTCTACTAAGTCGCAATCGCATTTTGTTTAACCTCCAACCTTTCTTTTAAGCATGCTGTAAAATTGTAAGTTTGATCAGAAAATTATCGTGTAAATTCTTCTTGGGGACTCTGAGATGTTTCTTCATTAAATTGAGGTAAGTGCAAAATGAAACCGCACCAAACCAGACACCAGAAGAAATGCAAATCTAAGTTTGCAGATCTAATTTCTTTCCAATATAACGCAGAGAAGTCGTTTTATACTATCATTCTCCTTAATAGTTAGGGGAAGATTGAGGTATTTGGCTCATATTCTCTTTAGTTCATTCATTTATTCGACGAAATAGCCGCTGAAGGTGTGATTCTTTAGTGCTAGAAAGTAATGATTTTTAACTGGCATAAGGTGATGAAGCTAACATTCTTATCCATTGGCTTCTCATGCTTAAACAACTTTGATGACAAAAGCATGGGAGAGAATTAGACTAGGATCCATTACTTGTCTACTGGAAAAATGTCCGAGGAAAGAGAAATCGCATTAAGAGGAAACTAGAAACTGCTTGGTAATGGAGATGAATCAGAAACTTGAAGACAGAGAAATTAATATTAAAATGAAATGAAGCTTACATCGGATCATGAACATCGGTAATTGACTTGGAAATCTAACTAGCTGAAGATCCACACAATAGCTGAGTCCACTACCATAGATATTTGTTCCCGCCATAGTTAGACTATGTTTAAGTAGTGGGGACACAGGAAAATTCGAAAGAGGCGCGTTTATTACATCATAGAAAAAGTTGAAAACAATCAGTAATTGAATGCACTGCCTTAGAAACAATATTAATCGCTGATTTGGGGATAAAGCGTCCGCGCCCACGACCCGTTGCTCACAAAGAGATCGATAGCAGTATTTCACTATCTTGGATACTATTGGGCACCTGAGATTCCTTTGGTCAGCTTTAATAACATTGTGCTCACTCACAAAATCGACAGAGCCATCGAGTTACCCTATATTCAATTATTATTGAGAATCTTATATAGTCCCCCTAGGCAGTCTTAGGTATACTTTGCCGCAAATTTTCAATACGTTTACCTTATTAGTTGCCACTAAATACTCAAGAATTTCCTTGTCTTAGTCCACTGGTACAAAACTGTAATAATGCAAAGGGCGCTTTGCTCATACAAAATGGTCGTCTTATTTATAAAATGAGTTATGTTTGGGAATGAAACATGATAAGTTGGTTCTAAAACAACATTACCATTGGTAATATAGCACCGAAAAGTGAATTTCTTAAGAAAAACACAAAATGACATATTTGACTAATCAAATGAATAATTGAAACTGCGTTACTCTGTACGCATTTAAATTCCTACATTAATTGATTTAGGTTATAGTCGTGATGTCTTCGTATCGAAATTGTCGGGCGATTGGAAGGTTTTTATGATGATATCGATTTCCTTCTTATTGAAAACTATTACATCATCCGTATTCTGATGATTTGCATGAAATAAGTCGTTAGCACTTTGTTCCTTCAGCAGGATTGTGTATACATTTCGCCTTCGGTGCCTTGATCATCTTCATTTATTTAAATTTCTAGCTCAAGGGGTGCGCAATATACTAACCTCCACGTGGTGCACCCTGGGCAACGTTTACTCATATGGCAAAAAGGTCTATTAGTAGGCAGTTGACTTTTGACTTCAAACTACCATGACCCGACTGCTTGTTATATTCGACCCCTTCCACAGTACTCATCTTACCTTTTCTCTGCATTTGTGTCCATCTGACTCTTTACATCTGTAAATCACTCTTCTGTCCCCCCTCTCGATTTTTTGTCACCTTGATATTCCTCCTCCTCTCTGTGAAGCCCCGAAGTCAGCTAAAGGGCTAATGATAAACTACCAAAATGCCTGCCATTTGATATATATAAATAAATTTCTAGTTCAAAATTTTAATGGGAAAAAATTTTGTTATTGTAAATAAGGATTTGATTGAAAGGCTTCACTTATATTAGCTTTATTATGCTAATGTGCTACTCAAAAATATACAATATAAGATAATCAAAATAAGTTGTAATGTCACAATCGGTTAATTTAGAATTTGTAATTGAAAATCTATAATTCTCAAAATATTACTCAGCTAATTTGCAGTTTTCAAGGCGGAGTTCGGACTTGTACTATTTGATGAGGTAAAACATAAGGAATACAATTCCTTGATGAGATTACGAGGTTTTAAATCACACTACAAGAGGAAATTTGGTGAAAATTTATTTATCACCGGTCTCCTAGAATTTCATTTCCTTATTGATTTTAAATATTGGGCTTCTGTGAAAATGGATTCAGGTAGCTTTGCCCACCAACTTTTTCATGGGAAAAATTGAAATTATTTTCCTCCCATCCAATAAAAATTACCTGAAATATTAAAAGTATTGCTCAAATAATTGTAACTGTAGCGGATTGATACACTAATAAGACTTGGCATGTGTTCAAGTTCTTCAAGTTTGAAAAGGCTCCCAGGTCTGGCTAACCATGACGTGAATGTGCTTACCTGGGATGTGTGTTACAGACTAGGAGCTTAGTCATAATATTACAATGGAGAGTTTGCTAAACCAAGCAGGGGTTATTGATTGCCGTTGGCTGGGTGATCTCCAATTTCACGACTGCACTTACTCCCTACACGAAGTGGTACGGCAGCACCTTCGAGCCTGTGAGTTTGCATGAGTTTTCCTTGCCCATGGACGACAACGTTGTTTGCTCCACATACCTCACATGGGAATGACAGAAACACTACGCCTCCTTGGATGGGTTTTCGGGAAGATCCAGCATAATGTGCACAAACTGGCATGTCCTAAACCTTAATACTAAAACGACATATCTAAGCAACCGAAGAAAAGCATCAAACAAATCGGGAATGAAAAATTCACCAATTTCCTAGCTTTAAAGGTCAATTGGCGTATTTTGTTAAATTGATAAATATACGTTAATCTTATCCACGAGTAGTTGCCAAAATCCCGACTTTTAACCACTACGGTGCATTTTGTTAACCAAACACCAGCGCGATATCACACCTATTAGGATCTTGGTAAGAACTCGATTAAACTTAGCTCATTTCAAAGTTGGTTCGTAAGTCATGATAGTGATGCTTGCAAACATTGCTTTAGAGTACCAAAGGACACATTTTTTTACTTTTGCAATCTGTTAGTATTGGTTTAGTAAGTACGTAAATGAAAACATTTAGTTAATTGCCATGAATAGGGACATTCGGCATTGACTACCAGTGCTTGCAAATAACTCGTTCATGTGCTTAAATGAATAAAGAAATTTAACTTAACAATGAGACCGCTGATGGGGATAACTTAAAGTTGGCCAGAGTTATGCATTAAGAAATAATCATTCACACGGTCCTACTTTTCAGTTTCTTTTCAGTAACCACATCCATTTTAACACAACATCCAAAGATGTTGTTGCTGGAGCGCTGTTTTTGTCACATATCAATCACGAATGAGGTTAGAAGATAACAAGTAAAATAAATTCACAGATGTTCTTAAAGAATGCCCGTATCTGTGGTAAGCCCATAATACTACCATAAGCAGAAGTGATGGACGCTGATGATGCGATTGGACATCACAATCCAGCATTATCCAATGGGATTATCACCCATTTCTCCTCTACCAGCTATTCAAGTCTTTAATTTTACAGGAATGTGAAATCGTTTTAAACTTCGCCTTTTAATAAAATGTAAAAAATCACGAAAGCGGTAACTTTAACGGCCCTAAATTCCCGCAATCTCAACCGGAAGCTTGATGCATGAAACTCTACTAAAAGCACCAAACTGGACTCCATCTGGTTTATTAGTCATCCTTAAGTAGAGTGGTCTTTGTTAGTCACGAGTGTTAAATTACCGGTATACGTGAATCAGCATTATCGAATAGGCTAATGGCTGTGTAGCATCGTTTTTCCGCGTTTTTTTTTATCACGGATCCCATTAACGATTTTCAACTATAATCTCTATCTTTCAGGGTGGGAAGATAAATATGATAGGATTTCCTAATTTCGTTTCGAAAACTAATTTCCATATTAAATTGATTCCCAACTCAGAGATGAAACACAGAGAAAAGGCGAAAATTTTACATACACTTTGGCTATATAAAATCTGTCAGGAAGTAAGAAAACAATAAACTCTGATAAAAAGTGGAATGGATTTGGAAGACGATTTACAAGACCACCACATAGCAAACAAAAATGGAATATAGAATAATTTGGAGGGGTGGCATAGCCATATGGTAGAGAACATTTACATCCCCTTTGGGCCGGAATGATGAATAGCTTCTCGAAGATCAATAATTCCAGGTCGGGGACAAACGCGTCGTTCAAGGGGAAGATAAAGTTCGGAGTCACGAATTGAATCGGCAACCCCAGGAACACAATCTATCATAGTTAAGAAACGACCTCCGTCAACCACAAAACTACCAAGGAGTTCGGGATATGCCGTCCTCCAGCCTTTGCCCTCATTTGGAATTATTAATGTTCCATCCTGCAGAGGGAAGATTTTGATGAGAATAAACTGGAAGTAAGAGAGGCGGAGAATTTAGAGTTACTATTCTCACTTTCTCCAATAACTGCCGTATTCTTCGCACCCTGCGAATGGTTGGGGAAAGGTCAATTGCTAATCCAATGACGAAATCGCCTGCTCTGCGTTTCACGCGTTCGATGAGATATTCTTCATAATCAGCCTCGTTCCACTCTACGATTTGGGGTTTAGAAACCTCCGGCAGTTCATGAACGAAGGGAACAATCTAAAAATTCGGTGAGTTCGGCATTCTTTATTCGCTTCCAACGCAAGAAATGTGGGACTTGAATGAAAACAAACTGATTTCAAACTCGTTACACTTAGAATGATTATAAATCAAGTTCTTACATCTGTTTTGCTTAAATCGTGTAGCCATTATATTTAAGTAAAAATTAAGACATCTACTTTGTGGCTGAAACTTACATCTTCGGTGGCAACAATAATTCGGGAAAGGATGAAGGCATCATCATTAACAGCTGTTGAAACTGCGTCTACGATACGTCGCAAATCTCCTGCATCACCACAGAGTAGTACTCGTATGGCAGTTGGATCTAATTAAGTTAAAACACTTATTAAAATAATAGGTAGATTTTCGCTGGTTGGTAAAATTAGGTTCAGCAAGAAGCATGGCTACCACTCTAAATTAAAACACGCATTAAAAATCGATAAATCATTAATTGCTCATAAAATCTCACCTGTTTTGATTTGGTCATTTCCATTAAGTGGTTGTACCCCTGTAGAGAGATATTATTAGACAAGGGTCAAGGAAAACCAAAAAATGCAGTAAATCATCTCGTTACTAAGACATCAAACGAACCCTGTCGGAAATTACTGAGACTAGAAACAATTTGCTGTATGAGGAATTGTGTTTGAGGAGATACATGTCGTATCCGAGAGGCAGGATATGGCTGATGTGAGGCACGCTTGGAAACTTTATCTGCCACTTTTCTTGGAGGAACCATTACTAAACGACTTCTTAAAGATAAAGAGCCGCTTTCACGATTTACTTGACTTAAATATACACTTGAGGCCTGCACTTGCCAATGAATGTTGTCACTACGCGCCAATGTGCTTGTTCATTTTTCAGCTTGCAAGTGATTGGTTAAAGGACTGAATCACACAAATGGATGATATGGTGAGACCTTGACACACAGCCCAATCAGAAGGTAATATGTGCTGTCGTCAAAGCAGTGAATGCTGTGCATAAGGTATTTGTTTGCATGCTTGTTTCCAAGGCCATTGTGGATCAACAGCCGACGGCAGAGGACAAATATTACCGAACCATGGTCTGGGTGAGAACTAGGGCTAATTATCATGGGCACCATGCGTGATTTAGGGTCCATCATTTGTGCCACGGCTGACTCTTTTGAGTTATTGAATTTCTACTTGGTTTTTTTCTCAGATCTCCAATTCGGAGTATTTTGAACCTTATTTAAAGTCCGTTCAATAATCTAAGTCATTTATTGGGCAAAAGTTATGTAATCGGATATTAATTGTATTGAAAATCGTTTATTCCTATTGAATGCTAAAACATTTTAGAAAGCTTGAAAATTACCAAAATTCTGAGGTTGATCGACATTTTTCCAGTGAATTTTTTAAGAGGTGCGCATCTAAGTGAATGCCGTCTGCTAATTTGCTTCTATAACAAATTTCGAGAATGAAAAGGTGGAGAAAATTGGACACGAATGCCTATCAACAAATGTGGTATCATCATTTTTGTACTTAAACTGAACGCTATGCCATTTTCTTTAAATTTATCTCTAATGGTTTCTATATGATGCATTGATTTTCAAATTTTATTTATCCTTAATGAAATTTGAATAGAAATGGTTGCTTCGTTTTTCCGTGATTGTTAAAGATACCATTTTGGATAAAATTTTGCATATGGCTACCTAAATAGTTTAAAGCAAAATTAATTTATAGTCGCTGAATCAAACCAAGCAAATTAATTAACAGCGATAGGAATCCAATTACTCCTGTGGGCAGATATTGTTAGAAATTGGAATTGTGCGATTGGCCGAGATTGTAAGCCAATTAAAATACCATAATGGGACCGACAAGCTGTTCGCCGACTTATTTTAACCAATCATGTTCTGAAGCTTGATTGTAGCATTTCAGTAAAGAACGAGTATGATTGTACTGCATTGATCTATTTAAAACTTGAACTTAATTCTTATCATGCACTCAGCGTGTGTTAAAGGACATAGTGTGAACAGGTCGATTAAATGTCAGTTGTGCCGTGATATACAAAAGTAGCTAGTTGTACAATTCACTGAACAGCTGATTACACTTAGGGCTATTTTCACACGTTTTTGTTCGCACTTTAGCTATGATTGTCGGGATCTGTGAAATTAAGTCAGTTCAAATATTACTTACATATCAGTGACTAAAGTATACTGGCATTTGATGCAAAAAACTTCACTGTTATAAATGTTACGCATTGACTGGAAGTTGGTTAAGGTTCCCGTTGCCTGATGTGATTCTTTAAGCCTGAATGCTCATAACATTATTGGTATGAACATAAGATTAAAGAGTGTCCATTCGTTGAAGGCCGCGAGTTAGACCAAAAAGGATCACTAAAACTTTAAAACATGTTCTTTGGAGACTGGAATGATGGAAAAAGCTGTGAATCGATGATTGGTCCAACCCTGAATGCCAATTCACATTTATTAATCACGTTACTTTCAATGTACAAGTAAAACTCAGTCTTTACTTCATTTTAGTGCAGTTAGGAGATAAAGAAGAGGATTTAGAATTTAAAAGTCCTAATGATCATCCGACAAGAATATTACCTTTAATAGAGATTGGCTTAACTACTTTGAGCTAATAAGAATTAATCGACTTCTTTTATTAGCCAACATTTTAATTATCTCAGTTGACTGTGGTCTGTTGAATGAGGTATCATCGATCCTACTGCTTAGGATGATTCATAAAAAGCGCTTAACGCACTTAATTCATATTAGATGCTTTGGAGCCTCAAAATAAAAAACTGGAATTAAACTAGTGAAGTTGTCAAGTTTAAATGTTATAGTCAAGGGTAATTCAATTTATGCCAAAAGGTCATTTCACATAGGTGGAAATAGGCATTTAAATTTTACCCCAGACAACCACGATGTCGATTTGTGATAGTGAATGATCGAATCGAAAAAAACTGACATTCAGAAAAAAAACTAATTTTAAAGTGATTTTTGATCAACATTTTGTCAGTCACTTTTATTTAAACGTCAAATGCCTGACTACCCAGAGAGTCATGATAAAAATTCTTTTTTTCGCCTTGGACTTAGGCGAGCATCCTTTAAAATAAACATTTATCTATTAACTTAAGCGGTTAACAAAATTTTATTTAAATGAGTTAGGACCATGCTGCCTAATATGAAAAAAAAGAGAAACTGCATCTCACACAATTCTTCTAATTCATCAAATGTTAATCATTGAATAGTTGTATCTGCGGAAGATTCACATCAAAATTTATCAAAAATTGCTAAACTTGTGTCTTTTAATTGGATATATTCAAGATTGCTAGTCGAATAAGGAACCACAAATATCAAACGAGCCAGTTGAACTCCTGGCAAATTGAAACTTTAACAAATTTGAAATTGTTTACACTTGTATTTAAATTAATTGGTGTTTATCACAAGACCAATAATTCATCTATTAATTGCATTCAGACAACCTATAAGGTCACACCCCTATCTCAATAAATATTCATTTTCTTAATGGAGTAATTTTCATGCATTTTAATCACTACCAGCGGGCGTGATTGAGAGTTCTATATATTTGTTCAACACCTAAAGAGCTTCTCAGGCTGAGTGTTCAGAATAAGTTGTGTGGTACCAATGCAACTCTCAATAAACTCCATATTTGAAAGTGATTAAATATCTATCCAATAGGGAGGCGATGAAGTAATAATATTATTATAATATGATAATATTCAGATAAAAGAAAATCAGGCGACGTAAGCAAATCGCACGGAAATCGATATAATAGCTCCAGATATGAGGACATCTGAGGGAACTTGCAACCATACCAGCTTTTAAAAACTGTAAAGCGTTATTTAGTTTACATTTCAATTTTGTTGAGTTGTGCGGCCAATCAAGCTGAATGTTGAAGGCAACATTTTAATGAATATCACTAATGAAGCAGTCAATGTTCAAGTCTCCTAATTCTAAGATCGTAGGCTCAAAATTCGTTTTGTGCTCAGCTAATTAAAGAAATAACCAAGCATACCTTCAAATACCAGTCAGACTACCGTTTTCCAATCTAATGTTCTTCAGAACTTTAACCTTTCGTTCAAGTGGAGTGCTTGAAAATAATCTTCATCGGGCTTGTGAATCATTTAGAGCACAAATTTTGTGCGTTAGTCGCTGTTCATGTATGCTAAGTCTAAGAGCAGTACAGTGGTTGATCAACTACACTGGCTAATTCAGATCAGCAAGAGAATCTACTTAATGTGTTTCCAAAATGGCGGTTCAAAAATACTTTTTTGTCAACTATAAGCACATCCATAAAAAGGTTTGGACCGTTATACCGCTATATAGGAATTAAACCAAATGATAAAATATAGATTTTGTCTACGAAGTATACATTCAGGTTTGTGGTGATCATGCTTTTGATGCATGTTATTTATGAGGATATTTTCTTACGTCAAGGAAAACTGGGCTAAAAGTATTACGCAAAAAAATTCAGACGTCAATGGGTATTACGTAACATCATAATATGTCAAGGTCATGCTGTGAAGTCTATAAGTCGCTTTCTAGCCCAAAACTATCGGAATTTCATGAAGGGCACTCCATTAGAAGTGGTTTCAATCAGCGGATACCTGAGAATTCAAATTCTGTACTTATTCACATGATTTTTGTTGGATTGAAAAATAATGATTTCAATATGGACTCCTGAATAGCAATTACACTTTTCTTGGAATTAGTTCTCCAAATACTAGAACATTTTAATAAAAATTTTGCCGTGATCACGCATTACGTTTCAGCGTGGGACAATTATTGCCATTTTGCATGGTTCACCACCCGCGCCTTCTGATTGACAAATTTTACTTTTTTACTGATTGCTTTTCGAAGAATACAGAATGTGAAATCAGCAGACTCTCGCATATTTCCTTGATTCATTTTTTTGTTTCTCTATCTTCTTTCCGCATTCATCCGCACTTGGAAATGCCCCTGTGATCAAAACGAATTTTGATTTTCTTACTCCTGAAGAAGTGGGGCGTGGGATAGACTTACCTCCTCGTGGTGCACCCTGGGCAACGTATAATCATTCGGCAGAAAAATCTATTAACCGGCAGTTGACTTCTTACTTTAAACAACCATCACCCCCATTGTATGTCATATTCGACTCCTACCACAGTATTCATCCTACCCTTTCTGAGCCTTTGTGTCTGCCTGTTTGTTTTACATCTGGTAATCACTCTTCCATTCTCCCTCCCAAATTCTTATCACTTTGACGTTCTTCCTCCCCTCTGTGAAGCCCGAAGTCAACTAAAGGGCTAATGATAACTATCAAAACGTCTGCCATTTGCTATAAATAAATTAATAAACTTCTGAAGAAGTGACGTAAGGAATATCATTGCTTTAGTAAGGAGATATTACAAGTCCGAACTCGTTAATAGTCTTAAAATCGATTTACTTCCAGGTTTGTTGTTACTTCTAAATCACAAATAACGGAGTAGCATGAAAACCTTCGAATGCACTTAACTTTCACCTAATTAGTTATTCAGAGGGAATGAGTGATCGCTGCCGTTATATTATAGAATTTTCACAGTATTAATTAATTATTTAATCATCTAATTTCATGGTGAGTATATTCTCAAGCAGATGCCCACGAATTATACCCTAACAATGAAATCAATTTCAATCCACATTCTGAGGGTTACGTTCAACAGTTCTGGCGTTTAATTAATGAAGTGTGAATTGATCTCCACAACTTTAGTGCTTGAGGGGAATTCGAGCTT